TGCACAATCACCCCCCCAGAAGCCCCCCCGCGTCCCCCCCAATTCCCCCCCCTTTACCTTCCACCTCGAAGTCGGGGGGGGTCTCGGTGCCCTCGTGAGCCCCCCGAGCCCCCCCCGGGTCCCCTCCCAGGAGCCCCCCCAGGAGCCCCCCCAGCGCCAGGAGCGCCCCGGGCCCCGCCATGGCCGCGCTGGGGGATGGGTGGGGGGGGCACAGGGGCCCCAAACCCCCCCAAAAACAGCCCCCCCGCCCCGCCCCCCCCGCCCCGATAAGGCCCGTCCCGCCTCTCCCCCCCCCGGGCGGGGCCACACTGGGGGGGGGAGATAAGGGGGGGAGGGGGAAGATAAGGAGGCAAAGGTGGGGGAGGGGTGTCACAAACATCTGGGACCCCCCTGAGACCCCCCCCCGGGACCCCCCCAGACCCCCCCCGGAATCCCCAGACAGAGACACAGGAGGGGGGAGGAGACAAGGGGCTTTAATGGGGGCACTGGGAGGTACTGGGGTGGTACTGGGAGGCACTGGTGTCAGTGGGGGGGGTCCCCAGGGGTCTCCGTTCTCAACGAGGGGGCCCGCGCCCCCCCCGCCCCCCCTCCAGGATGAGCCTCGAGCGACGTTTGATGGCGGCGCGGGTCGGGGGTGCCCCGGGGGGGGTCTCATCTGGGGGGACCGGGATCAGCACCAGAGACCCCCCCATAAACCTCCAGGCCCCCCCGAAACCCCCATAGACCCCCAGAGTCACCCAAAGCCCCCCAGAACCTCCAAGCCCCCACCTAGAGCCTCCCAGAGACCCCCAGAGCCTCTCACAGCCCCCTTGGCCCCCCCATAACCCCCCAAAGCCCCCCACAGACCCCCATAGACCCACAGCCCCCCCAAGACCCCCCAGAGACCCCTATAGACCCTTCGACCCTTCACAGCCACCTGAAGAGCCCCCCAAACCCCCTCCTACCCCCAGAAACCCGCCATGGCCTCCCAAAGACACCCCCCCCGATCCCTTTCCCCCCAGAACCCCCCCAAAGGCCCCCCCCAAGCCTCACAAAGACCCCCAAAACCCCCCCAAACCCTCCCCACCTCCCGAACCCCTCCTATGGCCCGCAGAGACCCCCCAAAGAGCTCCCGCGATCCCCCCAACCCCCCTCACCGTCCGAGCTGGGGGTCACAGGGGGGGGGTCCTCACGCTGCAGTTGGGGGGGCTGGGGGGGAACCCCAAAATGGGTCAGGAAACCCCAGACCACCCAAATTCCCCCAGGGACCCCCCCCGGGCCCCCCCAAATGGGGTCAGAGACCCCCAAACCAGCTCAGAGCCCCCCCAGGCTTCCCCCCGCATTCCCACCTGTTGGGGGGCGCTGTGGGGGGGGCGCAGCGTTTTGGGGGGTCTCCCCGCCCCTCCCTGCAGCTCCAGCAGCCGCACCCGGAGCAGCTCCAGCAGAGCCCGGGGGTCCTCCGGAGGGGGCTCCGGGGGGGCCCCCCTGCCCTTCTGAGGGGGAAACTGAGGCACGGGGGTCATCAGAGCCCCCCATGGACCCCTCAACCCCCCCAAAATCCCACCCCACAACCCCCCATGGCCCCCCAGTGTCCCCTTCCCAGCCCCCTTGGGACCCCCAGATCCCACCAACAGCCCCCGCCCGTGCCCCCCATGGCCCCCGAGCCCCCCTGTGTTCCCCATATCCCACCCCCATCCCCCGTGTCCCCCATATCCCCCCACAGCCCCGCAGGTGTGCCAGGAGCCCCCCCAGCCCCTCACCTGTGCCTCCAGGTGTGCCAGGAGCCCCCCCAGCCCCTCACCTGTGCCTCCAGGTGTGCCAGGAGCCCCCCCAGCCCCTCACCTGTGCCTCCAGGTGTGCCAGGAGCCCCCCCAGCCCCTCCCTGTGCCTCCAGTGTGTGCCCAGGAGCCCCCCCAGCCCCTCAACTGTGCATCCAGGTGTGCCCGGAGCCCCCCCAGCCCCTCACCTGTGCCTCCAGGTGTGCCAGGAGCCCCCCCAGCCGGGCTGTGGCCACCCCCAGGTCTCGGGTCACCTGGGCCAGGTCCCGGCGGGCAGCGGCAACGTCCCCGGAGTCGGGGGAAGGGTCGCCTGGGGGGGCCCTGAGACCACAGGGGGACCCTCAGGGGGACCCTCAGGTGTGTGTCCCCCCACCCCACTGGGTGTGTCCCCATCCTCCCCAAGTGTGTCCCCCCAAGTGTGTCCCCCCAGCTGTGTCCCCCCCAGCCGTGTCCTCTCCTCCTCAGGTGTGTCCCCTCCCACCTCCAGGTGTCCCCATCCCTCCCAGGTGTGTCGTCGTCCCCCCCCCAACTGACCTGCGGGGGGTCCCTCCAAGGTGACTCCCCCGGAGCTGCCCCCGAAGGGCCTCGACCTCCCCCCGGAGCTGCTGCAGGTGCTGGGACAGGGCCCGGACCCGTGGGGACAGGGACACCTGGGACACCTGGGACACCTGGGACAGGTGAGACAGGTGACATGGGGGCACTTGGGACAGGTGAGACAGGTGAGACAGGTGACATGGGGACACCTGGGACAGGTGAGACAGGTGAGACAGGTGACATGGGGACACCTGGGACAGGTGAGACAGGTGACACGAGGCCATAGGGGGTCCCGGGGCCTCACCTGGGGGTCGGTGCTGCCGAGGGGGTCCTGAGCCCGGGCTGAGGGGTCCGGGGGGGTCTCCTGGGGAGTCTCCAGGGTCTCCTCGGGGTGGGGGAGGGGCAGTGTCGGGGGGGGCCCCCTCGGCCCCTCCTCTGGCTCCGGGGACTCCTGGGGGGGGTCAGGCTGGGGGGGACAGGGGGGGCTGGGGCAGGGACACCACAGACCCCCTGGGACTCCTCTGTGTCCCCCAAGTCCTGTCCAGAACCCCCAGAGCCCCCCATGTGCCCCCCAGCCCCCCCTGTGCCCCCCCAAACCACTCTGTGCCCCCCAAGTCCCATCCAAACCCCCCTGTGCCCCCAGGACCCCCACATACCCCTTAGATACCCCTTAAGTCCCCCCCAAACCCCTCTGTGCCCCCCTAGACCTCCTTGTGTCCCCCCAAGTCCCCCCCACACCCCCATGTGCCCTCTAACTCTTCCTGCCCCCCCACCCTGAGCCCCACAAATTCCCCCCAAGCCCCTCAGCCCCCCCCAGTCCCCCCGTACCGGCCCCGGCAGCTCCTCCAGTGCCCGCGGCCGAGCCCCCCGAGCCCGCCGGGACCCCCGGACCTGGGGGGGAACCAGGGGGGTCATGGGGTGGCCCCCTGGCCCGTGGGCACCCCCCCGACCTATAGGGACTCCCCCGTCCCATGGAGACCCCCCGCCCCCCCCCAAGCCCCCGTACCTGTGCTGGGGCCCCCCCCCGCCCCACAGAGCCCCCCCGTTCCCGCAGCTCCCGCAGCCTCCGGCGCCTCCGCAGCAGCTCCAGCTCGGCCCCCCACAGGAGGGTCCGGGTGACCCCCGACTCGGCCTGGGGGGAGAGAGAACCTCAGAGACTCTCAGAGACCCCCAGGGACCCCCAGAGACCCTCAGAGACCCCCGGGTACACCCAGGGACCCCCAGAGACCCTCAGAGACTCCCAGGGACCCTCAGAGACCCTCAGAGACTCCCAGGGACCCTCAGAGACCTTCAGAGACCCGAGGGGCCCCCAGAGACCCCCCCCAGCTCGGCCTCAGCTCATGTGTTTGTGGGGGTCCCCAGGTGCCCCCAGGTGTGTCTCTCACCTGCAGGAGCCCCCCCAGGTGTGTCCCTGCCCCCCCAGGTGTGTTTACCTGCAGGAGCCCCCCCAGGCTCCTGTACAGCCCCAGCACCCTCTCGGTCTCCTCCGCCCGGAGCTGCAGCCGCAGCAGAGACCCCCGGAGACCTCCCAGCTGGGGGAACACCGATGGGGGGTCAGGGGGGGTCACAGGAAACCCAAATCCCCCGGGGAGGGGAGTCAGAGGGGTTGGGGGGGTCACAGGGACCCCAAATCCCCTGGGGAGGGGGGTCAGGGGGTCATGGGGGGGGAAGGGGGTGGAACCCACCTGGTCCTGCCGGGGGTCCCGGGGGGGTCTCAGGGTGTCCTGGGGGCGGCGCTGCGGGGGGGGGGGGGGCACACGGGGTCATGGGGTCACACAGGGGTCACACAGGGGTCATGGAGTCAAACAGGGGACACACGGGGTCATGGGGTCACACATGGGTTGGGGGGTCATGGGGGGTCATAGAGGGATCAGGGGACACTGGGGGGTCAAAAGTTCATGGAGAGATCACGAGGGGATCACACGGTCATGGGGGTCACCAGGAGTTCACAAGGTCACACAAGGGTCAGAGGGTCACAGAGGGTCACACAGAGGTCAGGGGGGTCTGGAGGGGGTCCCAGCCCCCCCCTCACCGTCAGGTCCCGCTGCCGCTGCCGGGGCTGGGCCCGGGCTGGGGGGAGAAAAGGGGGGGTCAGAGACCCCCCAACAGCCCCCAAATCCCTCTTAATCTGCCCCCCACTCCCCAGTAACCCCCCCAATCGTCCCCTCGAGCCCCCCAGTGCCCTCCAGTCCCCCCCTCCGGACCCCCAGTTCTCCCCAAGTCCTCGCCCAGCCCCCCAGGGACCCCCCACTTGCCCCCCCCAGTACCATGGTCTCGGCTCTTGCCCCAGGCAGCCATTGGGGAGTCCCTGGGGGGGCACAGGGAGGGTCGGGGGGGGCTCTGCACCCACCCCCCGAACCTCGAGGACTTTTGGGGACCCTCTGCTGCCTGGGATCCCCAAAATCCTTCCCTGGGACCCTCAAATCCTCCCCCCGAGACCCCCCAAATCTCCCCGGGACCCCCAAATCCTCCCCTGGGACCCCCAAATCCTCCCCAGGATCCCCCATATTGCCCTCCCCAGGACCCCCTGACCCCCTCGAGCACCCCAAGCTCCCACAACCCCCCTCCAGGACCCCCCAAATCCTGTCCGGAATGCCTTGACACCCCCCCTCCTCCAGGACCCACCAAATTCCCCCGGGATCTCCCAAACCCCCGCGTGGACCCCCCCTAAAATCCCCCCTAGGACCCTCAAATCTCCCTCGGGACCCCCAAATTCTCCCCAAAGACCCTCTAAATCCCTCCCTGGGACACCTCCCCCCAAGACCCCTCAAATTCCGCTTAAGACCCGCCAAATCCCCCTCAGGACCCCGTGACTCTCTCAGGACCGCCTGGCCCCCCCCCGAGCCCCCCAAAATTCCCCAAAATCCCGCCCCCCCTTCAGCACGTGCCGCCCCGGCTCCGGCCCCGATCGGCCCCGCCCTTCGTCGCCGTGACAACGCGACGCTCGGGCGCTGATTGGCTGAGACGCCACACCCAAGATGGCGTCGCCCACAGAGCAAGTCCGGGCGCCACTACTTCCAAAATGGAGGCCGCCATAGGAGGACGGCGGAGACTATAAACCGGAAGTTCCGCCTCCGCCCAGTTCCGGTTCCGCCGTGGGGCCCCGAGCGCGCGAGGCCCGACCCGGTACCGGGCGGGGGGTTTGGGGGGTCCCGGGGGGAAATTTGGGGGATCTGAGGGGGTTGGGGGGGTCTGAAGGGTCTAAGGGAGCATATGAGAGGGTTCTGAGGGGATCTAGAGGCGATCGGGGAGGTCTAGAGGGGACCTGGGGAGGATTTGAGGGGTCTGAAGGGTCGGTCGGGGGTCTCTGGGGGGGCTGGGAGGGTCCAGGGGGCGAATCTGGGAGGTCTGAGAGGGTCTGTGAGCATCTATAGGGGGTCTGGGGGCGTCTAAAGGGGGATGGGGTGGTCCATGAGGGTCTGGGGAGTTTTATAGGAGGATATTGGGGGGATTTATGGGGGTCTGGGGGTTCTAAAGGGAGATGGGGGGGTCTGTAAGAGTCTGGGGGAGGTCTCTACAAGAGGATGTAGGGGGGATTTGGGGGGGGTTTATGGGGGGGTCTATGGGAGGATGTGGGGGGATTTATAGGGGGTCTGGGAGAGTCTAAAGGAGGATCTGAGGGGGGGTCTATGGGGATCAGGGAGGTCTTGGGGGGTCTAAAGGGGGCCTGGGGGGCTTTGGGCGGGTCTATGGGGTGTCTGGAGGGGTCTGAAGGGGGATCCGAGGGGCATTTGGGGGGTCTGGGATGATCTATAGAAGGATATGGGGGATTTGGGGGGGGCCTGGGAGGGTCTGGGGGTGCCCAGGGGTCTCTGGGGGGTCTCTCAATTTTGCGTGTCCCCCCAGCCCTGCCATGGTGCCCCTTCCCCCCCTGCTGCTGCTGCTGCTGCTGCTGCTGCCCCCGGCCCTGCCCGGCCCCCCCGAGGTGACGGTGACACGGCCCCGGGGGGTGGCCCTGACCAGTGAGTGGGACCCCCTGAGACCCCTAAACCCCCCTGAGCCCCTCCTGAGCCCTCAGACCAACCCTGAACCCCCAAACCAACCCTGAACCCCCAACTCCCCCCCGGCCCCCCTGAGGTGATGGGGACATGGCCCCGGGGGTGGTCCTCACCAGTGAGTGAGACCCCCAGAAACATCTCAAATACCCCCCGAGCCCCCTCTAAGCCCACCTTAAACCCCCCCCTCAAACCTCCCTCAAATCCCCCAGGACCCCCTACAACCCCTAAATGTCCCCCCTGACCCCCCTCCCAACCCACCCAGCCCCCTGGACCCCCCCGTGCCCCCCGGACCCCCCCTGACCCCCCCGTGCCCCCTGGACCCCCCTGACCCCCCCGTGCCCCCAGACCACCTTGACCCCGCCAATGCCCCCCAGACCTCATTGACCCCCCCGTGCCTCACGGACCCCCCTGACCCCCCGTGCCCCCTGGAACCCCCCGGGACACCCCGGGCCCCAGACCCCCGGACCCCCCAGCCCCCCAGACCTCCTGTGACCCCCCGTGCCCGCCCCCCGTGCCCCCCGGACCCCCCCGACTCCCCCCGTGCCCTGGCCCCCCCTGACCCACCCCGTGCCCCCCTGACCCCCCTGACCCCCCCGTGCCCCCCAGACCTCCTTGACCCCCCCGTGCCCCCCAGACCTCCTTGACCCCCCCATGCCCCTGGACCCCCCCTGACCCCCCCGTGCCCCCCAGATCTGCCGTTCTACGACCCCTCGAGGCCGTTCCGGTGCCTCGACGGCTCCGCCACCGTCGACTTCTCCTGGGTCAACGACGACTACTGCGACTGCGGGGACGGCTCTGACGAGCCTGGTGAGACCCCGGCACCCCAAACCCACTGGGACCCCCAGGGACCCCCCCAAACAGCCCTCACCCTCTGGGACCCCCAGAAACCCCCCCTGACATCTCCCACCTGCTGGGGCCCTCAGAGACCCCCAGAAGCGACTGTGGGGAGGGGTCTGATGAGCCTGGTGAGACCTCCAGGACCCCCCATGACCCCCTCAATCACCTCCCTCCCACTGGGACCCCCAGGGACCCCCTCAAACAGCCCCCACCCTCTGGGACCCCCAGAAACCAGCCCCAAACACCCTGCACCCACTGGGACCCTTGGGACCCCCAAGGACCCCCGGACACCCCCCAGACACCCCAGGACCCCCCCAAGGACCCCCTCAGAGACCTTCCCTGACTCTTTGGGACCCCAAAACCTCTCCCCAAAGCCCCTTGGGGACCTTCCTGCCCCCTCAGATTTTGGGAGGGGTCTCCAATCTCTCTCCCAACACCCCCCTGGGGGGGTCAGGGGGTGTTTAACCCCCCAAACCCCCCCAGGGACCCCCGCCTGCCCCAACGGGCGCTTCCACTGCACCAACGCCGGGCACCGGCCCCGCACCATCCCCGCAGCCCACGTCAACGACGGAGTCTGTGGTGGGTCTGGGGGGCCCGGGGGGGTCCGGGGGGGGTCTGGGTGTCACTGGGGGGGTCTGGGGGGCGCTCAGGGGGATTGGGACTCCCCCAGAGGGAACGGGAAGGTCCCTGGGGGGACATGGAGGAAGGAATTGGGGCTTTGGGGGGAGGTTTGAGGGTCCCAGGGGGTGGGTGGGGGGTCCTGGGGGGTTTTGGGGGTCACTGGTGGGGTCTGGGGGGGTCAGGGGGTCCCCAAAGGTGCTGAACCCCCCCTCTGCCCCCCCAGATTGCTGCGATGGCACCGACGAGTGGGACAGTGGGGCCGGGTGTGAGAACACGTGCAGGTGGGACTGGGGGACACTGGGAGGGACTGGTGGGGACTGGGAGGGACTGGGGGGGAACTGGGAGGGACTGGGGGACACTGGGGTGGGAACACGAGGCCCGACGGGGTTGGGAGATTACTGGGAGTGACTGGGAGTGACTGGCGGTGGCTCTGGGGGGTGTCCCCGATGTGGGGGTGCCCCCCCTGATTTTGGGGTCCCCGCAGGGAGCGGGGCCGGCGGGAGCGCGAGGCCCAGCCAGGCTGGGGGGCACTGGGGGTAACTGGGACTGACTGTGGGGCACTGGGGCTGTCTGAGGGGGGTGTCCCCGATGTGGGGGTGCCCCCCCTGATTTTGGGGTCCCCGCAGGGAGCGGGGCCGGCGGGAGCGCGAGGCCCGGCAGCGTTTGGCCGCCCTGGCCCGCGAGGGCTTCGTGCTGCGGCAGCGGCTGGTGCAGGAGGCGGCCGAGGGCAGGAGGGACAAGCAGGTGGGCGCAGGGGGGCTTGGGGGGGTCACAGAGGGGTTTGGGGGGGGTTTTGGGGGGATATTGGGGATTTTTGGTGTCCCCACCCAGGCCTGGCTGGGGTGGTTCTGGGTGGGCTGTGGGTGATTTTGGGGGTCTGGGGGTCTCCAGGGGGGTCTGTAGGTTAATTTTGGGGGTCTCTCCCCATCCAGGCCCGGCTGGGGGGGCTGCAGGAGTCCCGGAAGGAGCTGGAGCAGCGCGTGGGGACCCTCCGGGCGGCCAAGGAGGCGGCGGAAGGCCCCGAACGGGCGGCCAGGGGGGAGCACCGCAGGAAATGGGGGGGTAAGGGGGGCTTCGGGGGGGGTCTGGGGGGCTTGTGGGGCTTGGGGGAGCCTGGAGGGATTGGGGGTGTGGGGTAACGGAGGGGGTCGTGGGGGGACCTGAATTGGTGGTGAGAGGGGAGCACTGCAGGAAGTGGGGGTAAGGGGGACTTTGGGGGGGTAAGGGGAGATCTGGGGGGCTTTGGGGAGTAAAGGGGGGTCGGGGGGGTCTGGGGGTACAGGGAGCATAGGGGGGGCCTGGAGGTTTTTGGGGTAGGTAGGAATTTGGAGCTGTGGAGGGGTTTGAAGGGGGCTCAGGAGGGTTTGAAGGGTTTGGGGTCCCTGTGGGTGCCAATCCCATGGTTTCCTGGGAGGGAGACACTTGGGGGTGGATTTCGGGGGGTCCTCAGACATCTGTCCCCCCGGGTGGATTTGGGGGTCCCTTGGACCGCTGTGTCCCCCCAGGGGGGTCCCTGACCCCCCAAATCGGGGTGTGCCCCCCAAAAGAGCAAAGGGCGGCGGCGGCGGCAGCGCAGGACGAGGCTCGAGCGGCCGAAGCCTTCGCCGAGCTGGACACGGACGGGGACGGACGGTGGGTCTGGGGGGCTTCAGGGGGTCCAGGGGGTCCCAGAGGGTTTGGGGGCCCCCCTGACCCCCCCCATGCCCCCACAGGCTGGTGGGGGTTGAGCTCTGAGCTGGAGCCCGATGGGAGTGGGAAATTTGGGAGTCTTGGGCGTCCTGGGGGAGTTTGGGGGGGGATTTAGGGAGGTCCTGGGGAAGCTTGGGGGTCCCAGGAGAGTTTGGGGGAGTCCCAGCGGGTTTGGGGGTCCCCCCTGATCCCCCCTGGCCCCCACAGGCTGACAGGGGCCGAGCTCCAGGCCCACCCCGAGCTGGACCCCGACGGTGACGGCACCTTCTCAGAGGCCGAGGCTGAGGTGGGACCCCCCCAAAAACCCCCCAAAGCCCCTCCCCCGAATTTGGGGGGACCCCTGGGGGGTGACTCCGACCCCCCCTGACCCCCCTGAACCCCCCAGGCATTGCTGGGGCCCGGGGGGGCCGTGGATTCTGGAACATTCCGGGAGAGGATCTGGGAGAGCGTCCGGGAGCGGCTCCGGCCACGGGTGGGTTTGGGGGGCCCCCCCAAATTTGGGCGGCTTGGGGGGGTCTCCATAACTTGGGGGAGCCCCAGAGTGGGGGGTCCCCCAAAACTTGGGGGGGGTCCCTGAATTTTGTGGAACTTTGGGGGGGGGGGGGTTCCCAGAACTTGAGTGGGTCCCTGAACTTGGGTGGGTCCCTGAACTTGGTGGGGGGGGTTGGGACCCCAAAATCTGGGGGCTCTGACCCGCCCCCCTCACCCCAGGGCCAAGCTGAGCCCCCCCAAACCCCCCCCGAGCCCCCCCTGGACGAGACCCCCCCCCGGGAGGAGGAGGAAGAGGAAGAGCCGGAAGAGGAGGAAGACGAGGAGGAGGAGGAGGAAGGTCCTGACGAGGAACTCAAGGTGGGGGGGACCCTGGACCCCAGTTTTGGGGGTCCCTGGACCCCAATTTTGGGGGTGGAGGGTCCCTGATCCCCATTTTCGGGAGGGAGAGTCCATGGACCCCAATTTTGGGCATCCCTGGACCCCATTTTTGAGGGGGTTCCCTGAACCTTAATTTTGGGGAGGGGTGTCCCCAGACCCCAATTTTGGACGTTTCTGGACCCCAATTTGTGGGGGGGGTGGTCCCAATACCCCAATTTTGGGGCCTCCCCACCCGCTACCCCAGTTTTGGGGGGCTGGGGGGGGTTTGGGACCCCCCCTGTGACCTCCCCCCTGCCCCCAGGTGCCCCCCCCACAGCCCCAGGAGGGGAAGGAGCCCCCCGAGGAGGAGCCCCCCGAGGAGGAGCCCCCCTACGATGAGGCCACCCAGGCCCTCATTGATGGTGGGGGGCGGTTCGGGGGTCTGGGGGGGGGCCTTGGGAAGGGGGAACTGAGGGTTTGGAGGGGTCTGGGGTGGGTTTGGGGGGGCCTGGGGCATTCTGGGGGCTCGTGGGGGGCATTGGGAGGGGCCTGGGGGTGTTTGGGGAGGGGGAACTGGGGCTTTGGGGGGTCCTGGGGTGGCGTGGGGGGGTCCTGAGGGGACCTGGGGGGTCCCGGGGGAGGTCTGGGAATGTTTGGGGAGGGGGAACTGGGGCTTTGTGGGGTCCTGGGGGTTCTGAGCATCCAGGGGGGGTTCAGGGAGGGGGAACTGGGGGTTTGGGGGTCTGGGTGGGTTTGGGGGGTCCTGGATGGGACTTGGGGGGTTTGGGGAGGGGGAACTGGGGGTTTTGGGGGGCTGAGAGGGCTGGTCCCTCTCTGTCCCCCCCAGGGGGGTGGTCCCAGTTTTGGGGACCCCCCTGACCCCCCTGTCCCCCCCAGCTGCCCAACGGGCCCGGGACGAGCTGGCCGAGGCCGAGCGGGCGCTGAAGGAGGCGGAGGACGGGATCAAGTACGGGGGGGGACACCCCAAAAACCTGTCAGGAACCCCAGAAACCTGTCAGGGAACCTCAAAAAACGGGGGGGACCCTAAAACTGGGGCAGGCACCCTAAAACATGGGGGGGGACCCCAAAACATGAGGAGGACGACCCTAAAAACCTGTGGGTGACCCTAAAACCTCTGGGGACACACCCCAAAAACCCTTTTGGGGTGAGGGGGAAAACGACCTCCTTTGCCCCCACCCTCAGTTTCTCTGGGGCTGAGGGGGAGTTTGGTGGGATTTTGAGGTCTGGGGGGGTTGGGGGGCTCTGGGGGCATTTAGGGGGGTTTTGGGGACCCCCCTGACCCCCCCCTTTCCTCCCTCCCAGGGCCCTGGAACAGGAATTGGGGTTTGATTTCGGCCCCGAGGGCGAGTTCTCGTACCTGTACAACCAGTGCTACGAGCTGAGCACCAGCGAGTGAGGGGGGGCCTCGGGGTCCGACGGGGGGTCCTGGGGGGCTCAGGGGGGGTCGTGGGGGGCGGTCACTGAGGGGCTCAGGGGGGGCAATAATGGGGGCTGTGGGGGGGGGTCTCATACCAGTACAACCAGTGCTGGGAACTGGGAATTTTCAAGTGAGGGGGGGGTCTCTGGGGGTGGCTTTGGGGAGTCATTTGGGTCAGGGGGGGCTCAAAGGGGACAGGGAGAGGGTCGGGGGGCTGATGAGAGGTCTTGGGGGACACTGGGGTGGGTTTTGGGGGTCAAACTGGGGGGACATCAGTGACCATTGTGGTGACACCAGGGGTAGGGGGGGGGGTTCGGGCCAGGGGACACTGGGGGCGTCCTGGGGGGCAGGAAAGGGTCTGGGGGGGGACAAGGACATGGAGGGGCTTGGGGGGTCCTGGGGGACACAGAGGGGGTCCTGGGGGAGGTGGGAAAGAATCTGGGGGGGTGACAAGGGACTTTTGGGGGACAGTGGGGGGGTCCTGGGGGGCTGAGAGGATTTGGAGAGTCCTGGGGGGGCAGAGGGGATTCGTGTCCCCCCCCAAGTCCCCCCGTGCCCCCCCAGGTACGTTTACCGCCTGTGCCCCTTCCACCGCGTCACCCAGAGGCCCAAAAACGGCGGCTCTGAGACCAACCTGGGGTGAGAGACTCCTCCCCAAACCCCCCCGGGGGGGTTCCCTGTGTCCCCCCCGAGCTGACCTGACCCCCTTCTGTGCAACCCCCCCCAAAACAGGACCTGGGGCTCCTGGGCCGGCCCCGAAGGCGACAAGTTCAGCGCCCACAAGTACGAGCAGGGCATGGGGTGCTGGCAGGGCCCCAACCGGGCCACCACGGTGAGAGGGGACCCCAAAACATCCCTGACACCCCCCCCCCAAGCCCCCCAAAACATCTCTGACCCCCCTGAGCCCCTCATCCCCTGGGGTGGTGTCCCTGTCCCCTGGGGGTCCCCTTTGGGGGTGTCCCTGTCCCTTGGGGTGCCCCATGTCCCCTTGAGGGGGGTCCATGTCCTTTTGGGGTGGTGCCCCTGTCCCTTGGGGTCACCCGGGAGGGGGCTGTCCCTGTCCCCTGTGATGCCCTGGGAGTGCCCCCCGGGTGCTCCCCTCCCCCCCCGTGCCCCCCTGACCCCCGTGCCCCCCAGGTGAGGCTGATGTGTGGCACGGACACGGCGCTGGTGGCGGCCACGGAGCCGAGTCGCTGCGAGTACCTGCTGGAGCTGGAGACCCCCGCGGCCTGCAGGGAGCCCCCCGCCCCCCACGACGAGCACGACGAGCTGTGACCCCAAAAACACCCCCGGGACCCCCAAAAACACCCCTGGGACCCCCCAAAATACAACCCCCCCCAAAAAAACCCCAAAAAGCCATCCGAAAATCCCCCCCAAACTGCCCCCCCCCAGCCCACTGGGAGCCCCCCCAGACTTGAGCTCGGGGGGGTCCTGCCTCAGTTTCCCTCCCCCCAGAACCTCAAGTGACCATCCCAGGATCCCTAATTTGGGAATTTCAGGGGGGTATTCCAATGGGGGGGGGGTCACACCCCCCAAATGGAGATTTTGGGGGGGGGGGGGTGTCCCTTCATTTTCCTCCGCCAGAAATTCCTCCAGGACTTTGAGGGACCATCCCAAGATCCCTAATTCGGGAATTCCAAGGGGGAGAACATCTGGGGCGGAGGATGGGGGAGAGGTGAGGATTCTCCCCCCACCAAAAAAAAAGAAAACTTGATGGATAGAAATAAAAATAAAAATAAATTTTACTGGGGGTGTCCGGAGCCCTGGAATTCCCGGCATTCCCGGGACCTCAGCACTCATCCTTGGGCGGGGCTGTCCTGGATCGGGTCAGAATTCCAGGATTCCCGCAGGATCTGCTCCCCCTCCCAGCCCCTGGGAGGGGGGGTGGTCTCGGGTGTCACCTGGAATTCCAGGGAATTCCAAGTGAAAGAGTCTCAGAGCTCGTCGCGGGCGGGGCTGTCCCGGAGCAGGTCGGAGTTCCGGGATTCCCGGGATTCCCGCGGGATCGTGATCCCCCCGGGCCAGGGGGACTCGTCCCAGAGCGTGGGGGTCTCGGTGTCGCTCACGTATCCCGCGTCCCCCGTGTAGTGCGTCGGGAAGAGCAGCAGCGGCTCCGCGGAAAAGGCCACGAGATCCCGGCGGGGGAAGTGCCGGGAATAGTCAGAGCTGGGGGGGAATCAGGGAAAAAGGGTGAGAAATCTGAGGAATGAGAGGAAAGGGTGAGAAATACAGAGAAAATGAGGGGGAAAGGGTGAGAAATCCCAGAAAACCACCGGAGAAGTGCTGGGAGAAGCTGGAGGGGAGAGAAAACAGGATCCCGTGTCCCTCCCTTATCCCTCCATGGAAGGGGTCCCAGTATCCCGGGAGCGTCCGGATCCCCATGTCCCTCCCGTGTCCCTGTATCCCACATCCCACGTCCCTGTATCCCGAGTCCCTCACAGCGGGTGCCGGTCGAACATGACGGGCAGGAATTCATCCACCGGGATCATCTTTCCCAGGGGTTCCGCCTCCAGCAGCTTCCTGGCCCCGCTCAGGGACAGGGCGTATCCCAGCGTCCAGTAGGAATATCCCGCCTCCACCAGGTTCCGGACACCGGGAACGGGGCGCTCCGGGCGCTCCGGGTGCAGCCGCTTCCGGCCCAGGTAACTGAGGGAGGAGGAGGAGGAGAGGGATGAGGGGAGGAAGGGTGGGAGGGGGATGAGGGGAGGAAGGGTGGGAGGGGGATGAGGGGGAGGAAGGGGGGGATGAAGATGAGGATGAAGGCCCCAGACTCACATGAGGTCCCAGGGGTTGGGATGAGGATGAGGAGGGGGATGAAGGCCTCAGACTCACATGAGGTCCCAGGGGTTGGGATGAGGATGAGGAGGGGGATGAAGGCCTCAGACTCACATGAGGTCCCAGGGCGTCCCGGCCTCCTCCAGCTCCTCCATGAGCTCCGTGAGGCGCCGGCGGAAGAAGATCTCGAAGCGCAAATCGTCCTCGAACACCAAGGACTTGCGCAGCCCCCGCGCCGAGATCTGGGAATGATCCCCATCCCGGGAGTCAGCTCAGCTCCCCCCTGCCTGCCCCCCCGTTCCCTGCATTCCCTGGCAGTCCCGGACCCCCCTGGATCATCCCCAGACCCCCCGGATCCCCCCAGGACTCCCCAGACCCCCCTCACCTCCTGCCAGACCCGGCAGTGGCTGAGGAAGCAGCTCAGCTCCCCCCTGCCTGCCCCTCTCAATTCCCTGGATACCCCCAGGAGCCCCCCCGGAGCCCCGCTGAGACCCAGACCCCCCCAGGACCCCCCAGACCCCCCTCACCTCCTGCCAGACGCGGAAGTGGCTGAGGAAGCAGCCCACCTCCCCCCGGGTGAGGGGCCGCCCGTGGAAGGGGTCCCGGTATCCCGGGAGCATCCGGATCCCCAGCGCCTCCACCTCGCTGCTGTTCAGGGCCCTGCGGAGCCAGGGAGGCTTCCAGAGGGGGATCCCTTGGGAAAGATTCCCCCTGGAGACCCCCCCGGGACCCCCAAACTCACCGACCGTCCACGGCCTCCACCAGTTTGCAGGAAATTCCCTGCTCCTGGAGCGTCCGGAGCATCCGCGCCCGGCGGTCGGAGCGGCGCTGCAGGTTGATCAGGAACACCTGGGAGAGGGGGGAATTTCGGAATATCCACCCAAATCCCAATGGGAATGGGAGAATCCACCCAAAATCCACAGGGGAATGGGATAAACCACCCAAAGTCAGGAGGGGAGTGGGATAATCCACCCAAAATCCAGAGGAAAAGTGGGAAAACCACCCAAAATCCAGTGGGGAATGGGGTAATCCAACTGGAATCCAGAGGGGAGGGGAGCAACATCCAGCAGAAAAGTGGGAAAACAAGCCAAAATTCGGAAGGGAAGGGGGGAAAATGACCCCAAATCCGAAAGGGAAGAGGGATCCCATCCCGAAATCCCGAGGGAATGCCACACTCACCTCATCAAAGCCCATCTTGTCGGAGACCTTGGGGGGCACCCACACGTGGGGGGAGGGCTCGGCCGGAGGGAGCTTCACTGGGAATGGGAGAATCCCACTGGGAATCAACCCCGGAGCCTGGAGGGGACATTCCCAATCCCAAATATCCCCATCCCACCAGGAATGAATCCCTGAGCCTGGGTGGGACATTCCCAATGCCCAATTTCCCATCCCAGGAGTCTGGGGGTGACTCCATGGGGTTCCCCCATTCCATGCCAGGCTCCCAAGGCCCCGGATCCGTGTGGATCCCGCCCCTCACCCATGATCTCCAGCTGGACGTGCAGGAAGTTGTCGGCCTCGTCCCGCAGGGAGCTGTGGGAGCGCAGCGGGACCGGCAGGAACCCGAACACCTCCCGGTTACTGACGAACATCTGAACCCCTGGAATGGGATCGGGATCAGGAATGGGATTGGGATGGGCTCAGGAACCCAACAAACACCTCCCGGTTACTGACGAACATCTGAACCCCTGGATTGGGATCGGGATCAGGAATGGGATGGGATGGGCTCAGGAACCCAACAAACACCTCCCGGTTACTGACGAACATCTGAACCCCTGGATTGGGATCGGGATCAGGAATGGGATTGGGATGGGCTCAGGAACCCAACAAACACCTCCCGGTTACTGACGAACATCTGAACCCCTGGAATGGGATCGGGATCAGGAATGGGAGGGCACCCCAGGAATGGGGATGGGAACAGGGGGTGTCACTCCTGGAATGGGATCAGGAGGAGGATGGGGGTCACCCCTGGAATGGGAATCAGGGGCTCACGCCAGGAATGGGGATGGGAACAGGAATAGGGGGGCACCCAAAGCCAAAGCTGGCACAAAGCTGAGCCCACCCCGAGCTGGGCTCAAGGGACTGAAGTCAAGCACAGCCTGACGTCGAGTCCAGCCCAAATCCACGCAAATCCCACCCCAAATCCAGGCAAATCCCATCCTAAACCCATCCCAGCCCCACTGACCCGCTGACCCCCCATCCCATCCCATCCCA